GAGAGTTCGATGGGCTGCAGGCTCGTCGATATCTCTGCCGCGGGGGAGGGTTAATTGAAAAATTCATTGTTCCCAGCGGGGTGACGAAGCGGAAACGTACGAGATAAAATTCCTCTCCCGACCGTTCGGCTGGACTTCGGATACCGCGGATTTCGCCAGCGAAGCGGCAGCTGGCTTGGCTGCCAGCAAGGGGTGTTTAATTGTTTTCATCGATTAGGGGTGTCTAACCCGTTTCCACGGAGCTCTTGGTGAATTTTGGGAGACGGTCTTCGTTCGAGGGAGACTCGAGACGTTTTTTTTTATTTCCGTTGATCGAGCTCTGGGCGCGGTTCGCGAACGGAGAAATTCATTTTCGTGACGTTCGCTTCGACACTTTTTCAGGAACATTTATTATCATTTGTAGATTTGTACATTTCACGAATGTAGATTATTCTGATTGAATAATTTCCGAATGTTTGTCTTTCGAAGGAAACATGTCCGAGCAGTATCCCCTAACGGGAGACTGCTTCCGAGTTTGGCAAGTCATTTGAAAAGCTAAGGCTACAGAAGAATGAAGATAGCAGCGTTGAATGAGCGAAACTTTGGAAATTAGGTCCAGTAGAGCGATAGCAAGTCACTTATAAATTACCCTAGCGAGTTGCTCAGTTCCTTTTCATCATTCTATTCAACGAAACTAGTTCGTTTTACCTAGCGTAGAGTAGAGGCTTTCAGGGCGGAGTCAGCAGCGAGGGGTCAGAACAGCCTTAAGGTCTTTCTCTTGGCATTCTACAGGAAGGAGGGTAACGAAAATCGGGAACAATCGTTGGAGGAAGAAGGTTACATCGACAGGAAAAGAAGAGAATATCCGTTCTGTCCTACTAACTCCTCTGAAAACCATCTAGCCTGCTTCGCCAGACGATACGACCTGCTTGATCAGCGTTACAGGACTTGCGGAGACCAGCTGGGACATACCTGATCGATCGACATCAACTATTTAACAGTCAGTCTATTTAAACAACCAAACTACGAGTGTTTCAATTCCATATCCGTTAGGAACAACAAATATTCATATATTTTATACAAACAATTGCATTTCCACAAACTCCCTACTCCATTTTTTTAATGAAACTATATCTAATTATTCGAAGAACTCGGCATAATGAAATTTTTAATAATGCTTAACAAAATCTTCATATTCCTTAGAAAAGGAAAAGATTTCTTTCAATCTAATTTTTGCGGACTGGTCCACGCGAATGTTCCATTTGCATGAGACCACGTAGTCTAATTATGAGATACCCTGCTAGCAGAATCAACGGAGTGTGAAAGGTTGATTTTTTCCTCGTAAGCTAAGGAACCTGTATTAAGGAAAGGCCGAGCGTAGTTGTTCTGAAGAGGACCAGCCTTTCCCGATTAGCATTCTCGCGGAGCGGATTCGTGTTAGTCGCTAACTCCCGGAGGAGGATAAGACACGTACCCGTGGAGGCCGGTTGAATAGGATTAATCTCGCAGTAGGGCGCCGTCGGAGGATCGTGGATTCGGCCGCGTTTCCGTGGCTCCCGATCCGTGCAGTTCGCGCAGATTCCCGATCCTGGCCTCTCCTCGGAGCACACCCGGAAACAGCATTCGTCCTCGTCGCTGCTGTGCAACGCTCTCGCGGCTTGCTCTCCGGTTTCAGGGATGTTTGGATCTGAAACGATTTCGTTTTCCAACGAGCTCCTCTCTCTCCCTCACTCTTTCTCTCTTTCGCGATTCGCAGTTGCTCTACTAACGAAACCCGCCGGAAATTCGTGCGGGATCAAAGAGAATGCGTATAACGAACGATCCCGTTCGAAATGATATTTTTCCTCAACATTTTTCAACGGAATTATTTGATCGAGTGTTCTGCAGAGTGCATCAGAATTGCAATATTCAAAGGGAAGTTGAGTGTCGAGTAATTTTTCGTGACTCAGGGGTTGAATAATTGTAGAAATTATTTAAGAGATTAAGAGATTCTTGGTGAATCGACGGCTCGATGGATTTCGAGTTTTCGATGGAATAATTAATATTGCAATCTTTGTGCACTCGTTTTACTGCTTGTTAATTACATTTGGCAGTTACAGGAATCGTTCTCTTCCATTTTCTCGAGAGGGTGCCAAAGAATGTTTCTACCCTCGGAATTATCACGATTTACGACGTGGATTCCGTCATTTTTATCGGTTCTTCTCTGTATGATTTTATTCTTTTACGTATCGATACGTTGCGGAAACGAGTCGTCACAGGTCAATGTCACGATTTACCTCTGCAAAGAAAAGTGGGTTCGCCGGCGTATTGCGTGGGGTACGCGGGGGCACGATCACCGGGAAGCAAGTAAGGACAACGTTGCTCCACAGATTGGCAGAAGGACCGACAAGGCCTGAGTCTGCTTCCGGTCCAGCTCGTTCCCGAGGTGTCCGAGTCCAGCGGTCCCCCATGAGCAAAGTAAGGCACCAGGGAGCTGCACACCCATTTTCTATACGCCTCCTAAAACAGAGAAGACAAACGTTAGATATCTTCCGACAGAGGAGAAAAATCAAAATCCTTCATTCACAATACAAACGAACATCGATCACTCGAATTTCACGGCGGAACAAAAGGCTTCGAGTTACAAAGATTCAACTGTAACACAATTCTCCAATGAAATCAACATCGACTCTCGCACCAATGCAACATTTCTCACGTCAATTCACAGAAACTGGAATCAAAATAAAAATCCCATTATACTGTTTGCATCGAATCTTTACCTTTGTCAACCATTACACAACCATGTCCACGATAAATGCATAAAATTCCTAGTCAATTGACAGCAACAGTGTCCACCACACTCCAACCTATACATTCGCGTGTATCATTGCTAGACAAACTATAGATCACAAGTTGCCGGTAAACTGAAGGCTCTAACGACGAGTAATCCAGCCTCGTGTAATCGGCGTTTTACTCGCGGTGTCAGGAAACCGCGATTGGAAGCATAGGGGCGAAAGAGAGAGGGGGGAAGAGAGACAGAGAGAGAGAGAGAGAGAGAGAGAGAGAGTGAGTGTACTGCGATCACGGCCGTTTCGTCCTTACTTCGTTTTCGGAGGTCTATTTGGGGTGATCGGGTCGGAGGAGGCAATAAGGCGTGTCAGTAGCTGACCTACATATCCTATAAATGTTACCTTGCCCGCAACCGCGCGCAACCTCCAGGACCGCGTTATAATTACGCTCCGGTTGTAGGAGGGACGTTTTATCCACCGAGGCGAGTTATCCTCCGGCACCTTACCCTCTGTACTCTCTCCGGTTCCCTCTCCCATCCCTCCTTTTTAGCCAGGCTTTATTAAATTTTCCGCGTACACCGCGAAGAGCGCATCGAAAGGAAAGAAAAGCCAGGGCTAAGGTTAGACGGAGAGCAGCCGAAAGATACGTTCATGGAACCGCAGGCATTATGCTCGTTTCGGAGAACCTTTGACCCCGTGGGATTGCCGAGAAGGCAGAAAAAGTTTCGACCCTTGATTCTTCTGTAGAATGATTGTCAGAGATGTGGTGGAATATGAAAATATAAGGATTGAGAATTTGTTTCAGGATGAGTCCAAAGATGAGCAACCTTTCTCTTATCATGGAGCAATATCGAGAGTTTTAATATTCTTTGCAAGCTGCAACGAATGCAATACTAGAAACTCAAGATAATTCGATTCACAATTATCTATCAATGAAACAGATACGGGAAGAGTAAAATATAGTAAGAGGAGGTCCAAGTGGATCATCGTTATTAGATACCAGCTGGTTCTAGATGCTCAGCGCTGATTTAACCCTTTGAACTCTGTAGGCTCCACTATTGCACTAGTTATAATATTAAATATTTTAATGAATCTTAATGAAACTACCCCAAAATTATTAGATTTTCCATACATCCAAATTTTGTACTGAGAAGGAAAATAAAAGATTGAAAGAATCGCATTTTTCATTTTCACTAGAGATGCTATGAAAATTAGTTGCAGTTACTGATACATTACAAAACCATCTGTAGTGCTAAGGGTTAAAACATTCACTCATTCGAGAACAAGTATTTTCGCGTCTTCCCAGATCATAAATGATTATCTTCCTCTTCGCGCGGAACGTGAAACCGAGAATGTTAAAAATTCAACACTATGATGGATCCTGGACAAGCGTCCTCCTCCTGTGAATCGAATCAGCGCTCTCGGCAGCCATTCACCGCCGGTATCCCGTGAACGCTGGCACGCGAAACCGCTCCGCTAAACGTTGCCTAGTAATCGAATACGAGCCCCGCAACATCGAGCAGTTTCCAGCCTGATGCGCCCCCGAACGAACTTTTTTTCGTTTCGGTGGGCTGGGGAACGCGCGACGTTGCCAACCGAATCCGCGAACCGGTGTGATAGCCGGCGGCGGCGGCGACGGCTTCGGAGAGAAACGCTGAGCCCCGCGAATCTCCTTCGCGACCACAATGGGACCTGGATGGCTTCGACCTCGACCACTTGAGCGAGAACGCCGGTCGCGTACGGTCAACACACGGCCACGAGGGAAAGAAGGGAAAAAGATGGTCGGGGGATGAACGGGGGATTTGGTACTGCTGGAACTGTAATAAGTAGACTGCGGGGCTTTATGAAAAATGGAATTTCGTTGGTACGCTCCGGGGAGATTGTTAAACAGAAAAGTTAGTTTGCCAGTGATTTGAATTCTTTGTGCTCCGAGCAGTGTTCCACTACGTAGTCGATTAGCATTAGGAACGGACGGTTTGTTATTTTGAAAGTGGAGCTTTGGAGAATGTGAAGATGTAATTTACGAGGGAGAAAATTTACGGATATTCTAAAATTCCTGACGACCACAGTGATTAAGCACGACTCTACACGCAAAGTCAATCGAATTACGGAACGCTCTGCATGCAGATGATTAACCCATCGTCATCGAACCAAAGTCAACATTGACCACGATCCGGCTATACATTCAAACATGTTTCTTCCACATAAACGCATCAGAACACGCGATCCAGTTACTGCCGCAGCCCCCAACCCCTCCGGCCGCTTTCCCGAAGGCTCGCGCTAGCCTATTTGCTTTTCATTTCGCGGGCCGTTGTATCTGGAGACGCGAGCAGCGAGCAGGAAACTCGAACGACGCCGAGCCCGGGTGATTTCATGGTCGTTAGAGACGCCGCAGTTAGGAACTATCGTTTACGACCCTGTTGTCCGCGAGGTTGAAGGGGAGCCACCCCTGCGTCCCCGCGCTCCGTAATCCCGCCACTCAGCATTGCTAATAAAGAACCCGCCGACGCCGATAAAACACAGGGAACCCGGATATTCTCGCGTTCGACGCAGATGTCGGCACGGCGGAAGGCGATAGTCGGTCGGTCGCCCGGACGACCGGAAGATAAAACAGGGGTGGAAAAGTCCCGTTTCCATCGGGACATCCGGCGTTCGTTGAGGGACCTGAGATGCTTGGGCCAGGCGGACACGCGTGTCCGCGGGACATTGAATCTCGTACCTGTTAGTTGCGACGGTATCGATTACCAGGCGCCCCATTTTGGTCCCGCGAGGCACAACGACTCCGCTCAACCATCCCCCTCCCGCCACCGTCGAACACAAGGGGGACGGCGGCGAAGAGAAAGACAGAGAGGGGGCGCAAGTTCGAAGATAGAGCACGAACCGAGCCGTGAAAAAGTTTCGGTTCGATGGATCCTCTTTCCCCTCGGAGGTCCAAGGGACGAAGGGATACGGTCGGCCTACGAGCAGCTAACGAGGAAAGAAAGGGAACGGATTCTTCGGTAAGGACGCGAGAAAGGGTGGGTAGTAGGTTGGCAGATAGGTAGATAGGTAGCTACACCTGAAGTACACTCCAAGTTGGCTGACCCAATTCTCTCCAGCCTCCGCCGAGTATCCGCGTTCGAGCTAGGCAGATGCGGCACCC